GGTGTTTCGGATTAACTTGTTTCCCGATCAACTTGTTTCCCAATCAACTCGTTTCCGTGGGGTGCGTGGCTTTCGACTGAAATACACATTTCGATCGCTTTCTTCTGTCGTTTACAAACATCTTTTGGTATATTTGGCTTCTTAGGAACACGTTGATGCACATCCAGTACCAGTGTGTGAGGTTGTGATTACTACAACAAGACAAACGAGTTGCTCGAATAAATCATTTAAACCAGCTATTGTTTCCAGACTTATTACGGAATATCGTTGTTAATGTCCAAGTCCATCTGTGTATACCTTCAGACAGCCTCCAAGTGAAGCACACAGTGTTTACTCACAGTTTGAAAGCAGCGTGGAGAAGTCTTCATCTGTGTTAAACTGTGATCCTCCCACGGAACTGGGACCCGCCCACGTTAAAATGTGACCCGCCCAGGTTAAATTGTGTTACGATTTCTGTGGCTATCTACCAGCGATCATGTTTAATATGAAAGACTACCCACACATGTATCCCTTATAAAAACGGTATTGTGCAACAGTCATCCAGATAAGATGTGACTGTTACCTCGTTTTGCAAAGATAGCAGCAGAAATGTCATTGGGGGATATTTAGACTTTAAAATGCTGCTTGGTCGTGAATGTTTATTTAAATCATGTGGAAATATTATGCCAAGAAACCTGTTAGCTCATTGGGTCACAGTATCTCCTGTGTTGTTCAAAGATTATTATATATACAATATTTGTTGATCTCTTAATCTATACTTTGTACCCCATTCTGAAGGCCATTTTGATTTAAATCCCAGAATAAAGCATAACACTAATCACTGGTTTTAATGATATTAAGATGATTTAATTTGTCATGTTGATTTGACAGACGGATCAAATGGACAGTGAACGAGAGCGATGCAGAATAAAAGCACAACCTTTTTACCATTTTATTTCAAACTCTATTTCAACAGGCATACTTTCAGTGGCACGGTGGTTTGCAGTGTAATAACCGTGTTATCAGAGGGATCTCAGTAAGATGCCATGGTGCTCTGCAGCCAGTCTGTGAAAATGCAGGTCTGATGCAAGAGAGGGAAAAGGAATTGGAAAAAGTTACAATCACAGCACGCATTGAGAAATAAATGATTGCTATGGGAAACTTGTGTTTTTTTTTACCTTGGCGTAGACACCCGGGTGGTTCTTCTCTGCGCACCCAAAGCCCCAGGACACAACACCCTGCAGCTCACCGTCACACACAACAGGACCACCAGAGTCACCCTGAGAATGAGAAAGCAAAGCAGTTTGAAATACAGTTAACTTTTATGAAAGTGTAGGGGACACTAAACAAGTAATTTGTGCACTTTGCAACAGCAGACACGCATACCTGGCAGGAGTCCTTGCCTCCCTCCAGGTCTCCAGCGCAGAACATAGCATCAGTGATCATGTCGGGGTAAGAGTTATCACAGTCTTCACGAGACAGGATGGGGATGTTCAGGCACTGCAGCCTGTTGCTGTCAACAGCTGTGGAGACGCAGAATAAAAGACACAATGACAAATCAGTTCAAATAAAAGTGTATTTATAAAGCCCAATATAACAATATACGCTTGTCTCAGTGGGCTTTACAGATTAACAAACATAGATGACAGTTTAAAATATACTTTATAAAACTCATGATAGAACGTGAACAACAAATAAAATAGATACAAATACAACAAAAAGACAGAAAATATACAGTAAAATACCTTAAAATGTAGGACTCAGGAGGACAAACGTAGGCTAATGTTAAACCAGCTGTAACTATAGGCTTTATTAAAAAGGAAGGTGTTCAAAACAAGGTCTTCAAAACACTCTTAAAATGAATTATGTACACATAGACACGTAGATTGAGTAACATAAGGAGATTGAGGAGTCTGATACTCACCGGAGCTCATAGTCACACCCCAGCCGGAGACGGTGCACATGGTGCCAGCGGGGGCACAGCTGCTGGGCAGAGCCACAGGCTGCACGTACTTGTTGAGGGTGGCAGGTTGGCTCAGCTTGATCAGCATGATGTCATTGTTAACCAACCAGGACTCGTAGTTAGGATGAGGGATCACGCGTTCAGCAGAGATTATCTGTTCATTTCCATCCATGAACCAGCGGTTGTGATCACCGAGAACTATGTCCATTTTGCTGCAAAAGAGATAGAAGTTTCAAGTGAGACAGGTTGAATGAAAGGGATGCTTTGTGAGGTTCAATTGTTGACGTTTGAGGAGCACCCACGACTTGTAGCAGTGAGCAGCAGACACCACCCAGTTCTCGTTGACCAGGGTGCCTCCACAGAAGTGGTAGCCAGAGTTCAGAGACACCTGATGGGGCTGAGAGTGAGGCACGCACTCCTGCCCTCCAACAATCTTGTCATCCTCTGTGGCAACTGAACAAAAAAAGGATTTATTAATCTGCAAAGGAGGAATACCTGTGTCCAACATTTTTGTATTTCCTCTGTCTCATTGTTTTATTTTTAATTATTTAATCTCCAATGTGAGAGACATAATGTTCCTCACTTAAGATATATTTAGCGATTTGTTTTCTTAGTGTTGATGGATTTTCTAAATGAATCCATACTTACTTACACACAGCTCCTAGGAGCAGAGCAAAGACCAGAGACTTCATGATTGATGTCAGGTTGATTTTCCTCGACCCATGCTGGCTTTTTATCGAACGTTTGAACCTATGCAATCTGTTGAGACACACCTGATAGGGCTGACCAATCAAAACCCTGCAAATAGTGCTGATGGGAAAACTTAACCACACTCCCTAAAACTCTGCCAACGTGTGACTTTATCTACTTGCAGACAACTCCTCCTTCAAAACCTTATTGTGGTTCTATTTCAATGGAAGAATCAAGGTATTAACACACTGTGGCTGACTTATATTTCAAAGGGGCTTTTTCCTCCAGGAGCTGTGTGAGATAAGTTGGAGTCATTCCTTAAAATATTGAGAGCGACTGAAGAATTAAAGACTTGTTTCGTTGAATCAATTCCTTTGCTTCTTGCCACATGGAGAAAAGACCCATATGGTTGTTCTCTGAAGGACATTCAATGAGACCTATCCTGGTTAAATAAAGGTAAAATAAAAGAGCGTATTGATTTCAATTTAAAAATGCTGACTTCTTGAAAAGGCCATCTCAATCATTTACTTTAGCTCCTTCTTAGTAAAATGGCCTTTTACTGTCACCTCTCATTTTATTTCTCTAATGTAAATGTATTGTAGAAATACATATGTTGTGTTATTTTTGTTCTATACCCTGAAAGTAGGGCACGTTGTGAAAATGCATGCAAAACTAAAACACTACAAGTCCAGATAAACTTGATGCAGGCAGATAACAAAACATAAACACTCCTATATTGTGGTATATAAGTGCAGAGGACAAGCCTTTATTCATTGATTTTCTTTTGCTTCTCAACAACAGTTTTCCTTTTTCAGCAAATGGCAGCAAAAAACCTTTGCGCTTACAGGTGTATGCCTGAATTTTACATTTTGGATGTTATAAATAATGTTTATAAATATATAAATACTATAAGAGAGAGATATGTTTACCTCATAAATAAAACATGATAGAAAAACCAATTACAATACTCTAAATCATAAAAAACAAACAACAAAAATGTAACTGTTCAATAACTAAGGATTTGTATGATTGTGGAACTGAGTTTGTATTACACTTTTTTCAGTAAAAAACTACTATTGAAGCAGTTCTCTATTATGTATACATTTCAGGAATTTTGCTCCAAAATGAAAAAAAAGGGACTCTATTTGTTTTCTCACAATGCATTTTGAAACTGTGTATTATTTAGCTCAGTCTTAGCTGCACTGGTCTGCTGTGAGTAGAGTATATTTTGTAAAGGTTGTAATAATAGTATGTACGTATAAAGGTTGTTTCCTCGGCCCAGACTGTGCCACCTGCAGCTTCTCTCACAGATTGACTATCTGAGTGGCTCTGACCAGATATCACGTGCAGTAAAACGCCCCTATACAAACAAATGTTTTTCAAAATATCTATAAATGATGTATCTTTCTCTAAATTGTGTTACTACAGTTCCGTTTAGCAGTGGGTTTGATGATGTGTCACATCACAAAACAATCTTGTCTATTGAACAATGAGTTAAAGAACACAACAATTACAAAAGCAGTAAAACAAAACACAAACATTTGTTTAGATAAAAGGATAAATGGATGGTTATTAATATTACTCGGGACAGAAAAATACCATTACAATACTGTTTATTAAAAAAAGCAAAACATGAAGTTGTTTAAGATGGTAAAAAGCATCCATAATCACAACAACAACAAAACGGCAACTTTTTCATTTTATCAGATGTTCGTACAAATGTTGTGCCTGCCTAAAAATGCTACTAAGCTCCATCACAGTTTAGGATTTCTATCAGTGAAAATGATTTCTGCCAGTTCATTTTCTCTCACAATTGTAAACATAACAACAGTGCTGTTACTTTGTCGATTGCATTGGTTTCTCTTTTTATCTATTTCATTCCTCTGTACTCCTTTAAATATTGTCTGAACTTGACATGTCTCTATCATGGTCATAGGCTGTTTGCAGAGCTGATTATACTTGACAAGGGTTTGTTTATTAGAACACATTTTTCAATGTAGATACTCGGTAAACATTGCAAACATGTTTCCTAAGTATTAATGTCGGGTGTCTAACAGGGCTCACCTTTTAAAGTATTTGATGTAACATATGATCTCTGCATCAAATATGATGTGTATTTCTTCAAGACTCTACTTCACTGGACTATTATGTATTGGTATTGATGGCATTTATTGTATTCTAAACTATTGGAAACAGTTTGATGCGATATACATTTAGAAAGTATTGCTCTGTCTACTGTATCATAAAGGGCAGTAAACAGGTTCACAACTTTGTTAAAGTTCAGTTGAATTTTAAATAATGTAATGAAGACATATTTCTGGGACAACACAGGCAACAAACTGAGGGAAGCATCATTTACAAGTGTTGGACTTTATTGACTCAGATAAAAAATGAATGCAATTAATCAAAACTCAACAACAACAGTGGAGTTAGAAGGATGGAAGAAAGGCAGCAGAGTAAGATGGTGATCGCAGAATCAGACTTAATAGTTGGCCATGGTTGTCTCCAGCCAATCGTTAAAGAGGCAGACCTGTGAATGGAGACACGAGGAGGTTTGTTAGAAAACTAGCAAATATGATACATTTTTACTGGGGATGCTCATTGTGAAATATAAGTTTCATATTGTCTATTGTAGAAATCTTTTTGGTTTACCTTGGCATAGACACCGGGGTTGTCCTTCTGAGCACATCCGTAGCCCCAGGACACAACACCCTGCAGCTCACCGTTGCACACGACGGGTCCACCAGAGTCTCCCTGAGAGAGAATTCATTTGTGAAGAAATTCCCAAATATTCTGTATTGGCAACTAAGATGCATTGGTATAGGAAAAGGAGAGAGTTGTTTTGTTACACACCTGGCAAGAGTCCTTGCCTCCCTCCAGGTATCCAGCGCAGAACATGGCATCGGTGATCTGACCGGGGTAAGAGTTATCACAGTCCCTGTCGGACAGGATGGGGATGTTCAGGCACTGCAGCTTGTTGCCGTCAGCAGCTGTAATTTAGTAAAACAGGGTTAGAATAGCACAAATGACACAAAAATAAAGCTTAGCTCCAGCTGTTAAAATGTGGGTGTTACTCACAGGAGCTCTGGGTGCTTCCCCAGCCGGAGACGGTGCACATGGTGCCAGCGCGGGCACAGCTGCTGGGTAGAGCCACAGGCTTCACGTACTGGTTGAGGGTGGCGGGCTTGCTTAGCTTGATCAGCATGATGTCATTGTCGATGTTGTAGGAGCTGTAGTTGGGGTGACGGATGACACGGGAGGAGCTGATGAACTGCTCGTTTCCCTCGGTGACCCTGATGTGGTGCTCTCCCATACGAACCTCCACGCGGCTAAAAGCAAATGGAAATGACTTGATTAGTTACAAAATACAGACAACTGTTCATCAAAATAATGTGCATGCCCCACGGGTTAGTAAATCAATCCTATGATCCTGGAAAACATGAGGAATGTGCTTACGACTTGTAGCAGTGAGCAGCAGACACCACCCAGTTCTCGTTGACCAGGGAGCCTCCACAGAAGTGGTAGCCAGAGTTCAGAGACACCTGATGGGGCTGGGAGTGGGGAGTGCACTCCTTCCCTCCGACAATCTTGTCCTCCTCCGTGGCAACTGAGAAAACACACATCAGCATCAAGTTAGTTGTTTGATTCTGCTCTTTAAGAAAAGTTACAATAGAACAGATATCTATTTGAATGTAGAACAACTGCGCATTGTTCATTTGAGAACTTTGGGTGGTTAAAGATCAATCAGATGTTCTCTAATTAAAAACCTTGGCTTTAGGCACATGCTCTGGTTATTCTGAACTAAGTTTTGGGATAAAGGCCCACAGACTGTCAGCAGAGAGGAAGGCAATCGGCTGGATAGGAGCTTCACACTCACAGGCAGCTCCGATGAGCAGAATGAAGACCAGAGACATCATGGTTGCTGTGTGATTCTGTCGATGATAGCCTTCACCTGCAGACCTGGTTTATATCCTCAGTCAGGAGGGCTGCCCTGCTGTCCAGCCTTCCTCATTGGTCAGCAAGGAGCCAATCTCTGTAGCGGGAAATTGGAGTTAGGTGATTCATTTCCAGGATTACGTAAAAAACACTTTTGATTGTACAAGTAAGGATGGTTTTCTTGTCAGCAAGATTTGGAAAATTAAAAGGGAAAGTATAGGTTATATTGGGTCCTTTTATTATTTATTAATTTATGACACTACATTACATTACATTGCATTTAGCTGACGCTTTTATCCAAAGCGACTTACAATAAGTGCGTTCGACCAACAAAATACAACTTGAAGAAAACAGAATCAACACTACACGTCAAACATATTTTTTATATGATCTTACATTTTTACACAATGTAATCGTTGGAAGGTTATTTAGTTATGAGTTCCTAAGAGAACAGCAAGTGTCGAAAATGCAGAAAAAAAGAACAATACTATAATAAAAACATAATCTAATGTCGTTAGTATAAATTCTTTATGACTACATTATTATCACACCTTTTCTAATGGCCACCGATGACATATGTTTAACACTCATAGCCCAATTTATTGTTTTATTCATGTGGGTGGCTTTTATCTTGACTACCACCATGACAGAGAAGGGTTACATATTAAACCATCACATTATATTTACCTATAATCTGGAATTTCTCAGAATTATTATATTATTGCTACTAAGCAGTATATGGAGTTTTATTTAGCTCGAGTTTATAAAACTTATCGTTTATAAAAACATCAAATATTTAAATGCAAGCCTGCTTTGGAGCTTTTTTCACAATGCGTGATTCTTACTTTATTTCTTATACAAACCTCTTAAAGTTGGCCCGTGTTTCTTTGGTGAGATTGCATAGGTACACAGGTCCCCTCTATATTTAGACGTATGGACATTATCTCACAGCTGTGGGTTTCTCAACATTTGTTACTGAACAGCTAAATTCAGATATGATGTGTGGCTACCTTGAAAAATCATGATTTAAGATTCAAAGATTTATTGTCATAACATAAAACTACGGTGTAATTATATAATGTATGAAAAACGTAGAAAAATATATATTAAAAAAAACAGGAGACTGGGGGACTGTAAATTCTCAAATCACACCACTTAGAACTAACTTGTGAATGCAAAAACAATGCAGATATGATTTTTAAATAATTGTATTCAATAACAGCAACCAAAATAAACAGTACGAAGTGATTTGATTTGTAAATATAAATACGGATTTTGACTAAATGTTTTCATTAATATATTTTTACTCCCAGTGAAATTGGCATGGGACTTATTTTTACCCTCTCAAAGAACTGAAATCAAGAACCGAAAAGACACACACACTCAAATCGTCTTGCGGTGCAGATTTCGGGAAATTCCGAATTTAAATTGTTTGTGGATCACAGTGATTATGGCAGTAGAGAATGATTCAGGCAGAGTTTGAGTTTTTGATGCTAAGTTAATTACATCCATGGTGAGTAAATCCTTAAATTCTCTGTAAAATTCTGGTGGGAAACCATCTTCCCCCGGCGATTTATTAGATTGCAATGAGCACAAAGCCTTTTCAATTTCTTTCTGAGTGTAGGGAAGATCAAGTTTATTTTGGTCTTCCTGATCAAGCTTTGGCAAGTCAATAGTGGACAGGAATTCATCAATTTTAGTCAGATCTTCTGGTGATTCCGATGTGTATAAATTTGCATAAAACTGTTTAAATGTGTCATTAATTTCTACCGGGTTATGTGACACTGAAGCTGCTTCAGTTTGAATTGCGTTAATTGTTCTTGAGCTTTCCTCTTTCCTCAGTTGCCAGGACAGAATTTGATGTGCCTTCTCTCCCAATTCATAATACCTTTGTTTAGTTCTTAAAATGGCTTTTTCAATGTTATAAGTGTGCAGCGTATTGTATTTGAGCTTCATGTTTAACAGCGATTGGTGTAATACCTTGGACCCAGATTGTTGAAACTCCTTTTCCAATTTCAAAATATCCGTTTCCAGTTTTTCTATTTCTGCCATATATTTCTTTTTAATACCTTTTGTATAAGAGATTATTTGTCCCCTTAAATAAGCTTTAAGTCCCATAATATAAAACTATTGGGGGAGGAAGGACAGTTAGTCTCGCAGAATAGCTTTATCTGGTCCCTAATAAACATGCAAACATCTGGTTTTTGAAGAAGGGTAGGGTTCAGTCGCCATCTATATGAGTTAGTTGTTTTTTCTGGCATCAAAATAGAGAGGAGAATGATCAGACAGGGTCCTAGATAAATATTCAGATTCCAATGCTCTATGAACTAGCTGCGTTGATAAGAGAAAAAGGTCGATCCTAGTATGAGACTTATGGGGACAGGAATAGAAAGAGTAGTCTCTGCTTTGAGGGTGCATCCGTCTCCAAACATCTGTCAAATTTAGATCTTTCATAAATGCCAGGGTGTTTTTGGCAGCTTTTGATTTAGATACTGCCAAGGATGACTTATCCAGAATAGGATCCAGGCACAAATTAAAATCACCCCCTACCAGTATGTTTTGTCGTCCCCCTGACACCTTAAGAAAGATATCTTGAATAAAGGATGCATCATCATGGTTGGGTGCATATAAGTTTAAAAGTGTCCAGGGTTCTGAGTAAATCTGACAATGAACTAATACATATCGGCCTGATGGATCAATAATAGTTTCTTCAATCGTCACTGGAATGTTTTTATTTATTAAAATAGCTACTCCCCTGGCTTTGGTGTTAAAGGATGATGAAACTACATGTCCTACCCAGTCTCTCCTCAGTTTATTATGCTCCTGTGCGGTAAGATGGGTTTCTTGTATGAAAGCAATATCAATTTTCAGTTTTTTCAGGTGTGTCAAGACTCTTTTCCTTTTAACCGGTCCGTTTAGTCCATTCACATTAAAGCTAACAAATGTCACTGCTCTGTTCATCAACAATAAGAGTATACAATGATCATGGTATTACGGCCTCTTTGTGAAGTCACCATGTAAGTGTAAATGTATCTCCCGCAGTAAAGTGGCAAAAAGTAAGATAATGCACTGAAAATAGAAACAAAAAAGGAAAAAGAAAAACCCCCGAAGTGCCTACTCCTGAACATCCGGCACCATCTACACTATCAAATTGGGATGTGCACCTTGCACTTAACAAGCGTGACATGTCTGGCTAGTACAGTAAACATCTCACTAATCCCAGGGCTCTGTCTGAAAAAATGATTATCATATCAAATGATCCAATATTGAGTGAAACAAAGTGTTCACAAACTCTGAAGAAAAGGAAAAAAGAAAAAACCCGTTTGAAATGACCTTATACGGTATCTATGAAACCAGTCTAACAAATGTAAACTTTGAATGCTGTCATCACTTGTATTATCTAGAATGTCTTTAATATACCAATAGTGACGACAGTTTAAACATGAAGACACAGCAACTCGTGGGAACTACGGTTGCCCGACTGATTTTCAAACAACTGTTATTTCCGTTGAGGTTTGTTTGTTTGTTTGTTTGTTTATTTGTTTAAAGGACAGTGCACATTAATCCACATTGCTGTAAATGAGCCAGTATTAGCCAGCAGGCTAATTTTCAACTGTTGTCCTTGGCAAGATGTTAAATGACCACAACAAGACTAGAAAATAAAAACATAATTAAATAGAGTACAGCAGACACCAGCAGTACAACAATAAATAAATAGCAGTACAACAATAAATAGGAACAGCAGTACAACAATAGAGAGGAACAAACACACAGATGAAATATCATCATACCTTGATACAGTTAAAAGTGTTCACATTTTTGATTGTTTAAAAGCCAGTTCTTATGATTGTGGTTAAATGTATGATAGGAGGTGTTATTCCTTATCTGTATTGGTGTTGTGTTCCAGAGTGTAGGTGCCCTCACAGAGAAACAGTGTTTGCCAAAGGAGCTGGACCTAAGAGGGTCTACACAGTCCCCTCTTAGGGCAGACCTTGTGGTTCTGCCGTTTGAGTTTTTCTGCTGTATAAAAGTGCAGAGTGGTGGGGGTGCCTTGCCGTTTAGAATTTTAAAAATGAGACATGCATCAGTGTGTTTTAAAATATTTCCCCAGCTGAGCAGGTTATGTTTGTCCAGGATTTTGCAATGGTGGTATAGCTTAGGTTTTCTGTCCAAAACTTTGAGAGCTTGTTTGTAAAGTGACAGGATAGGCCTTAAGGTTGTGCTATTCGCCTGGGTCCAGCTGCTCATACAGTATGTTAGGTGGGGAAGGATCATGGCAGTCATGTAAAGTTTTGCTACAGGTGTTGTCAAACAGTTCCTTATATATCTAAAGTTTGCTAAATTGTATTTAGTTATTTGCATTACCTTTCTCACTTGTTTTTTGAAGGATAAAGTAGTGTCAAGGATAATGCCTAGATATTTAAAATGTGTAACTGTTTGAATGACCTCCCCAGACACATAGACCGTGGGTTCACAGTGTGATACAGTGTTGGTCTTGCTAAAAAACATACAGACTGTCTTCTTAACATTCAGATATAGGTGTGAGTCAGTAAGCCATTGATTTACATGAACCATTGCATCATTTAATTTGGCCGCAGCTTGGGCCTTGGTTTTTGCATGGACATAAATGACAGTGTCATCAGCATACATTTGCACCTCACATCCAGTGCACACTGATGGCAAGTCATTTATATAAAGGCTGAATAGAATTGGGTGGGCCCAGGATAGATCCCTGGGGTACACCCAGTTCATTCCTCAGGGGTGGTGATGTCTCGCCACTTACCCTTACACACTGAACTCTGTCTGACAGATCGGAGCTCATCCAGTCTATTGCACTGGGTGAGAAATTAAAATAGGACATTTTGTGAATGAGTACTTGATGATTGACTGTATCAAAAGCTTTCTTAAGATCTAAGAAGATTGCTCCAACAATGCCTCCTTTGTCCATTTTTTATTTAATATTTTCCACAAGGAAACAATTTACGGTCTCAGTGGAATGATTGGCTCGGAAGCCGAATTGCATGGGGTGTAGTGTGAAAGGACTACTGTTAAGATGTCCAGTCAATTGCTCAGCTACACATTTCTCAGAGATCTTAGACATGACAGGTAAAATACTAATGGGCCTATAGTTGTTTGCATCAGTTGTGTCCCCGGATTTGTGGACTGGCACAACAATGGCTAACTTCCAGTCTTTTGGGAATTTTCTCTCCCTAAAAGAGGTGTTAATTATTTTGGTAATTGTCCCTGTGAGAGTGGTAGCATGTTTCTTTAGAAACAGAGAATCCAGTCCAAAAGTGTCTTTTGATTTGGAATTGTTTAAAGAAGAAATTATAGAATTAACTTTTGATTCAGAAGTCTCTGTCAGGGAGAAGACTGGCTGTGTACAATCAATAGGTGATGAATGTATTTGACCAATTTGGGGACTGTTTATAGTCAGCCTCACAGAATTAATAAAATGGTTATTAAAAATAGCCGCTATTTCTGCTGGCCCCTTACATAAGGTTCCATTGTTACCGATCTCCAGCTGCTTTGTTATGTTATGCCCTTTCCCTGTTAGGTTCTGCAGACAGTCCCAGATTTGTTTATGATTTCCCTTAGATTCATGAATGAGATTAACAAAGAAGTTGGATTTAGCTGCCCTGATTTCCTTTGTAACTCTGTTTCGTAAGGACACAAATATATGCCTGTCAGTCACTAAATTTGACTTAAGAGAGTGCTTTAGAGCATTATCTCTCTCCTTCATTGATTTCCTGATGTCACTATTAATCCAGGGGAGGGTATGTTTATTTTTGGCCTTAGATTTGCTTTTCCTGAGGAATCGTTTTGATATATTTTTGGATTGTTGACATAAGGGCATGTGTGTTGGTATCTACGTCTGTACCTGATAACATTTGGCTCCAGTTAATGTTTTTAATTTCCCTGTCAAATTCATCAATATCACTCTTGGGTATTCTTAATTGGTAAGATTTTGTACTGGGTTTCAAATGGAAGCGGGATTTAGTGAGCTTTCTGGCTATGAGAGTTAGGTTGTGGTCAGACAGACCAGTGATAATATTGTAGGTTTTTGTCACCCTTTCAGGTTTGTTGCTGAAAATCAGGTCAATCTGGGTTTTTGAGGATGTGGTTATTCTAGTAGGCCCCTTAATTAATTGTGTGAGATCAAATTGATTAGATACCCGTTCTAGTGCCTTATTACTTGCTTTGTCCTCCCAGTTAACATTGAAGTCACCCATTAATATTATTTCCTTGGCAGAACTGCATTCTCTAAGCATTTTTTGTAATTTGTCAAAAAAAATTGCTTTTGCAGATGGTGGTCTATACACTCCAATGAGAATGAAAGACATCTGTGGTGACAGGCTAACATTAAGACAGATATGCTCAAGCTCATTCTCAGCAGAGCATTGAACCTCATTACATGATATGTGGTCTTTGATATAAAACAGTAACCCCCCACCCCTGCCCACAGCTCTATCTTTCCTAAAAACATTGTAGCCAGGAATATGTATGGCTGAGGATGGGGAGTTTTTATTTAACCAAGTCTCTGACAAACATAAATAGTCCAAGTTAGAGTCTGTTAAGAGATGTTTTATCTGATCACTTTTGGGTACAAGACTGCGGATATTCAAGTGAGCCCCCAGCAGACCACTGGGTTTTGCATTATGGTCCCACAGCACTCTGGCATTGTTCACCGTCTGAAATAAATTGTGTTTTCGCAATTTTTTAATTGCTGGATTTAATCCTGCGGCTTTCCGTCGAGCGGCGCCAACTCTTGTTGTGAGTGAGTTCTGGATTGGCCCACGCTTACCTGGACCGTCGCAGAGAGTGTTGATAGGAAGGATGGAGTTTGTTGGTTTGAGATCAACTGGTTGTGCGCTGCCCGGGGGCTGGATAACGATCGCCCGTGGCGTGGAGATTCGGGAGTCATCCGTGTAATGGAGTTGTTGTTGCCGTGCGACCTCGGGGGTTAGCGAGGATGCACACAGTTTCAGCGACCACGGCTCTCCCTCTTCCTCCACACCAGTCAGATCAGGCCCGGCCTGTGATATCGGTTGAGTGGCGTTTGCAGTCGATATACTCCCAGAGACATCCGAGGAGCAGGTATGGAAATTAGGTGGGTAATCAGACATTATAAGTACAGCGTTTGTGACAGCAGTTTGTATCTGTAAGATAGGCTAGTTACATGCTGTAACTGAGTCAGTTGGTAGTTTAGCCGCAAGTTCAGTGTGGATCATTGGGCCAGGGCATTGATGAACATCACCGGCTAGCAGCAGACAGAAAGTAATGATGAGTCATTCCCCTCTTTGATCCGTTTTGGTGAATTGTTTGTTTGGGCCCTGCATTCCCATGCCAGGGCGGACAGAGGTGGTAAACAAAACGAGGTGACCAAGTCCAAACTGTTTTTGTGATGTATGACTACTTATCGAAGCTAAGCAGTCCCGTTCATGTGAGTGTTTGGCTCCCAGAAAATGTGTTAAGAGTGTGTAAAAGAGAGCCGCTGCCAACACACCACGTCTGCCCGCCATCTCGCAGTTCCTGAGTGAGCTTTTAATGGTTAGCTTTCTGGTTAGGTCCTGCTGGAGTCTCACGCAGGAATGCCGCTGCCTCCTTTGGTGTTTGGAAGAATCTTCTCCCTCCATCGGGGAGCGTGATCCTCAATGTTGCAGGATGGAGTAAGGCAAACAGAATATCCCTGGATCGAAGCTCCGTCTTAACCCGGTCATACTCCTTTCTGCGTTTCACCAAGCTGGCGCTTAGGTCGGGAAAAAACAGCACAGGCTTACCGTCGTACTTGATGGGACCCTTATTTTCTCTGGACCGCTGTGCGGCAATGCGCAGGATCTTGTCTCGGTCTTGGCATTTGAGCAGCCGTATCAGAACAGGACGGGGTCCAAAAGCCCGATGTGCCCGCTCTATTATCAGGGGCTCGGTAAAATGCTCTTGTCCCAAGGTGGCTGGGATCCAGTTAACAAAAAAGTTTACAGGATCGTTTCCCTCGCAGCTTTCCCCGAGATTAATGACACGTATATTATTGCGTCGGCTGTGGTTCTCAAGCTGGTTCTCCATTAAAAAGTCATTTTCTTTTCTTAACTTGACAACACGAGAGTCCAGGTCCACCAGCTGGTCCACCGCCGTGCCAATACGGTCTTCTGCTTCGGTTACCCGGGAGCTCAACTTATCCAGCATAGATTTCAGTCCGGAGATAGACTGATTAATTTCTGCGGTTTTGGAGTCGAGTTTACTGGAGAGAGCTTGATTGCCGTTTCTAATCTCTTGAAGGATAAGTGAGTCTCCTCCGCTCAGGTGTTGTTGTGCCGCCGCCGCCATTACACAAACTTCTTGCTCACAAGTCTCGGGAGCAATTTCCTCTATAGACGTCAGAATTTGCTTATCAGCTGAATGTTGTTGTTTGCTCCCTGATCTCAAGTCCATGCTGCATTCGTCCGACCAGATTAAAAGTGGGTTTGGGTGTTTTTAAAGGTTTTAAATTGAATTAGGATGGAGAGCCCCTGGGCTAGCGTCTACCTAGCTTCGCTGCATCACGTGATCCCCAAGTACTCAGATCTTGTTCTTAAGTAAATGTCTGTTACAAGTAAAAGTCTTGCAATCAAAATGTTACTCAAATAAAAGTACAAACGTTTTAGCATAAAAATATAATTAAAGTACCAAAAGTAAAAGTAGTCTTTGTGCAGATTGGTCCATTTCAGAATAATATATATGATATGTTTTCTAATGATTGATCATTAAAGTGTTCTCAAAGCTGGTAAAGGTGCAGCTAGTTTGAATAACTTTTACCTCATTCACACCAACGGTGTTTCAGGGCCGGTTCGGAGCTGGAGCTTGAAAAGCACCGGGTTTTCCTGTTCACACCGCAGCGGAGTAGCCTTAGCTCCGGAATCCGGTTCATTTCGAGCACCAAAAAATTGTCCGGCCAGAGCAAAAGCACCACATACGTCACGCTTACGTCGAGCCGGGGGCAGGGGCGGGCTCAACTCCTGAACAACAACAAAAAGCCGGCATTTTATCCAGTTTGTACACAACGATGGAGAAACTTAACAAGCAGCAGTGGTCCACTGAAGAAACCAGCTACCTACTGGGAATCTGGTCTTCCGAAGAGGTACAGAGGAAGCTGGAGCACAATTGGCCATTGTTGTTGTTGTCGGTGTCAGCTGTGAGGGGTTTCCGCACGGTTTGGCTTTATGAAGCAGGCACGCAATCGGTTACGTCATGACGCAAACGATGACGCAATGACGCAGCACCAGTCGGACTCTGGGCAGTGTGAAAAGAGCCGGAGCTAAACCGAAGAACCGGTTCTGAACCTGAAAAGCTCTAGCACGGAGCTTGAACCGGAGTTGCGTTGGTGTGAATGAGGTATTTGTGTACTGCAGGGTACTGATGTAGCACCTCATTTCGGACTCCAGTTTACAGCTTCCTGCCTACAACTTTTAACTGCTTATCTTTCTTACAGTGCAGACGCTTTTTCTGCTTGCTCTTGCCTCTGCTTACTTTTTATGCTGATTTTCCTATTCTTATTCTCTGAAAACTTCGAGCAGCGGCTCCTGGACATTAACTTATCACTGGGACAGTTCATCTTTGTAAATAGACGGAGGGTTTCAGCCATATTTCAACATTTTTACGACGACCTCAGTCTTACAGTAGCGTGGCCTAGCAACAGCTAAAGCCTGGTAGGCTACTGCATGCTATTTAGCTTAAGCTAGTTGGTAGCAAAATGCCTCCGTTCTCTACAGATGACATCCACAAACTTATACAGAAGATGGCTGTGTTGGAAATTAAAATGCAACGGTTGGAAGTTAACGTGGAAGTGAATGGACTATGTTGTGGGAATGACACCACTTTACCAGTGTTGCAAAATCATGGAAATGGGTAGGCTAACTCACAGCTAGTTAGCAGCTACAAGGATTCCAAGGAACAGGAGGGCTGTGTACCGGGTAATAAATCTACAAGTGGTAGTCCTCCCTGAAACTCTCTGGGTGCAAAGCCTAAGAGTAAATCATTTCCATGGGATTTGGGAGGATGGATAACAGGCAGAGCCCAGCGCTCTGCGACTGGCTGGCCTGCATTGTTATCACCCAGGAAGAGCGCCTCTTCAACCCCTAAACAGCCGTGGACAGCTGCTAAAGGGAGAATTACAAACAATACTCCTAAACCACCAAGTGTGCCAATCCAGAACAGATACGCTCCGCTGACCGAGAGCCGGAGATCTCTTTCTGATGACCTGGATAACCCGTCCTCTTCACACAGCAGGGTAAGGACCAATAGCTACTCCAAAAGTAAAAGGCTAGAGGGAAAGCTAACGACTGGGCCTGAAACTCTGATTGTGGGTGACTCTGCTGTAAGAGATGTAAAAGGTCTGTGTAGTAAGAACAACACCAAAGTACTCTGTTTTCCCAAGGATGTGGTCTCTGACTTGGCTGAGAAGATCCTGCATATTGGGGCTGAACATCCGACTGTGAAGAATGTGGTACTGCACATTGGAACAAATTATGTTGTGAAACAACAGTCAGAAGTGCTGAAAAAAGACTTTAAATGTTTGTTGGAAACTGCCAGCTCTCTAAATGCAGAGGTGTTCATCAGTGGCCCTCTACCGCCAGTCAGAAGAGGAGTGGAGAGATTCAGCATATTGTTTGCACTGAACACCTGGCTTTCAACTGTCTGTACTGACCATTCTGTCCATTTTATTGACAATTTTAACTTTTTCTGGGATCGCAGACAACTTTTCAAGGCAAATGGAGTTTGTCTGAACAAATCAGGAGTGAAATTGTTTATCTCCAACATATTCAACTAACTGCGTCATCAATCTGTTCCCTCTGCCAAGGACAAGCGGCAAAAGGAATCAAAACAGGAGAAAGACACAACACATCGCGCAGAAAGTACTGCCTGAAATAACAACCCTAATTATCATATCTCTTGGATCTACATTGGAGGCAGTCGCAATTTCTACAGGCTCGCACTTACGTGTTAGCATCTGGCATCTGTTAGCATCTGTTAGCATCTAGCAGCATCTAGCTCTCCTGCTTACAAACTTTTAGCCATCCCTGCTTATACAAGTAGTAGTTTTAGTTGTCTGCGAACTGTGGAGGCCTACTCCCACCTGTCGAGTGCGGCTGTACTGAGGTGTTTTTCCTCCGGAGACGTCGCAAAGAGACGGAGCGGCTCCACCTGTTTGCTGCCTGCGATCTGCGATCTACGGAGGCCTGCTCCCACCTGTAGAATACGGCTGTACTGGAGAGGTTTTTACCCCGGAGTCGTCGCGGAGAGACGGAGTGGATCCACGCTTCGGGCTTGGCCTGCTTCCACCGGGCGTGTGCTGCTGTGCGGAGGAGGATTTTACCACCGCTGGGGCCTGCTTTCCACCTGTCCTGGTTCTGCTGTTGCAGAGGCCTGCTTTCACCCCGGGGATACCACGGAGGGACCGGAGCACTTCCACGCTGCTGTTTTCGCCTGTCCTTTGCTGCTGTGCTGATTTTGCTCCAGGAACATCGCGGATAGTGTGTGCTGGTCTGGGAAAATGGCCCATATCGGGATTCTACTGTGCCTGTTAACTGTTTTGGACTATGAGAAGATCTCTAGTCATTCTGAGAAGACTACTGGAGTCAGGTCTGTTCTGCCACCCGCAGTGGGCATCCCCTGCAAAGGTTCGGATGTGTTGCTCAAACAATTACCGGTTGCCTTGTCACAGTCAATCTGCTCGACAAAATATGTTTGTCTTTTTTGTTTTCCTGCGATGATGGTTCTTCAGGACTGCTTCTTAAGCTCTAATCACACTCTCGCAGACTTTTCCGGTGTTTCTAAATTAGATGACAATGTATTTGTGTCGTTTAAGAGGAAAAGATGCCTGGTTTTGTTGTTGTTATTACTGTCAGGAAATGTACAACCTAACCCTGGTCCGCCCAGTAGTAGTAGTCAGATCGCTACTCCTGCTGATTTTAAAGCTAGGTCTGGGTTGGGTTTCATCCACTTGAATGTGCGCAGTCTGTTAG